TTTGAATTTGGTTTACCAATCAAATGCATTTATTCTATATTTTTACTTTTGAATGACCCGTGCACCACGTATCAATCCACATTCACCTCTCTTAACTTCGTTCTGGCATAATCTGGAAATGGTCATGCAAAGAACAATCTTCGATAAGTAAAAATGTCAACTATTCTAAAAAATGTGAGAGAGGGGTTATTCTAAAAACAAATGAGGAGAGAGGGGAAAACATGAGTTAGAGAGTCCGTGAAATCCCCAGCTATCAGGTTATTTTACTAAAGCTGATGATGGAGTAGTTGTGAAACAGCAAGTGGACCGGGCACATGGAGCAGATAAAAACACAGCGTCATCGTCCCCACAGATTTTAGGTTAGTTTGATTAACAAGTTAACAACTTGATGGATGTATATTGCTTTTTGTGTTTGAACAAAGTATATTCGCTTATGGGTTAATAAACCGATAAATATACCGATAAACTATCGGTATATATCAATTGTTTTGCGCGGCATGATGTAGGTTAAGCTTTTCATTTAAACGCATTTTAAGCATTGTGGTTTAAAAACAAGTATAACTTTTCAGGGACATTAAGCAGTGGGGCAGAATTCATTTTGGCAAATGCGCGCATTGCGGTTTCAGCATCTGCTCGTACAGCGCCAGTCTAAACTTTAGTTATTTTTCGTTCCTTGTGCTTAAACGTTCATGTTATGTGTCAAAATGTCTCCTTGTCAACACAGTCATTTGTGTCTTAAACGAACGTTAATAGTTAAATATAAAGCATGTGTAGTCAGGGGCGCGGGGAGATGTTTTTGGTTGGGGGTGCGGTGTGTGTCCGTGTTGGGTGAAAGGGGGGGGTCACCTCATTTGACAACTCCACAAAGCACTACAAGTGCGTCGATATGAACACTCGTTTAAGTGGCATACACACTGGGAAATTTGACTGCATATCACATTTTTGAAATTATCGATAGTAGCTGTTTACTCAGCCTCAAGTTGTTCTAAACCTGTATACATTTCTTTGTTCTCCTCAACATAAAAGAAGATATTTTCAAGAATGTTCGTAACTAGAAAGTTTCTGGTCCCCATTGACTCCAGTAGTGTATTTTGTTTTTCATACTATGGAAGTCATGGGGGCCCAGCAACTGTTGGGTTACCAGTATCGTTCCAAATATATACTTTTACATTCAACAGCAGAAGGAAACTCATACAGGTTTAGAACAACAACAGACCTTTAATTTTTGGGTGAGCTATTCCTCTAAAGTAGTATTATGTCAATAATGTTAATCAAACATTAGAAAGAAAATCACTCACTGTCCTTGACTGAATCACTTTCGTAAAATAAATAAGAATGAATGTATATTGAATTTATACATTGAAGACTATTCAGTTAATTTGTACATTTATACAATATAATTTCTTATTCAGTGCTATAAGTGTTTCAAGTAGGTCGATTATCTATTATGTTTTGACACACAAGACTAGTTTCGAGCTTCGGAAAAGGGATGAATTTTTTGAGGATAAAATGGATCGTTTTTGATTTGTAATTATTGCAAGGGCAAAGGACATTTGAAGAGCGAGTGCCCTGTGCTTAAAGCTAAGGGAAAGAGGGGAAAGGTTCAACATATTAAACCAGCTGCATTTGTAGAACATTCGGTGCATCCCTAATATTCATGCTGCAGGTTCATTTTCTAATGTAAAATAAAGTCAAATCAAGGATAAATATCCACTGACTGATTTAGAAACAGAAGTTATTTTTAAAGCACGCTCACCTGCTCGCGGACGCTCTTGCAGAAGCTCATGTCTGGATCCATGCCCTCCTGCTGGTAGAGAGAAACGGGGGCCAGACGCGAGCGCAGAGTCTCTCCGCGGATCAGATAGACCTGAGTGACGTAGGGAACGTTCCACAAACCTCTGGAGGACAGGAGGAGACGTCAGGCTGCTGTACTGACACACACACACACACACACACACACACACACACACACACACACACACACTCACACAGAGTGAATGACACTCACACTCTCTTGCTCTGGACGATGTCGATGTAGTCCTCCGAGCGCGAGTAAAAGCCCTCCGGACTCAGAGCGCCCCAGAAGTTCGACCAGAGCTTGCCGTGTCGAGACAGCATGGGCGCGATCACAGCCCTGCCAACATCAGACAGACGGAGAACATCAGGAGTGTTTATGATAAAATAACAGCAGTGAGGAAACAAGATACTCCTATCTGAATCCAGTCTGACTCCTGAATAAATCCTGAAATAATGACTAGAGCCATGAAATCCATTTCCCACCGTACATTTTATTTTATTTTTTCCCTAAAATCTGTTAAAAATTTTCTTGATTCTGTTTTAAAAGGTAAAATATTTTTTAGCTATCAAAGACTATCAAATGAGTTTATCAATTTAATAATTTATAAAATAAATAAAATCTTTTCCACCTCAAAATCCAGTTTATTTTTCCGAAATTCTGTTTTCTGTTTTGATTTTTTGTTTCTGTTTTTAAAGGTTTATTAAACTTTAACCATCAAAAATAAACATAGTTTATTTAATTTATTGAAAATGTAACAATAACAGGCCCATATAAAATCCGTTTTTCCCCACAAATTCCATTTAATTTTTCTCTAAATTCTGTGTTTTCCATTCATTTCTTTTTCTTTTTTTTTCTGGTTTCAAAGATTCATTAAATTTTAACCATCGACTGAGTTTGTAAAACTTTTACAATGTAATAAAACAATAATTAAAATGTAACAATAAGGCACTATGATCTTTTTTTTCTTCTTCCTAACTTCTGTGTTTTCTGTTTTATTTTTAAATGTAATTAAATTTGCAACAATAAAAAATCAGCACTTTTTTAACTTTATAAAACTTTTACAATGTAATAATTTATTAAACTGTAACAACAATAGGCCCCTATGAAATCTGTTTTATTTTTTTCCCAAATTCTGTGCTGTCTGTCTGAAATTTTCTGGATTGTGTTTTACGATTTAATACAAAAAAGTATCATACACAAATTGTGCTAAATCAAATGAATTCATAAAACTTTAACAATTTAATGCCTTTTTCAAAACACAATCATATGAAAATATGAAAATTCCTTTAGAACAAAGAATTGAATTTTAATTAGTCAAATGTTTTTTTAATACAACATTTTTTCACATGGATGTTTTAATAATTTCTAAATTTATTTACAATGTACATTTTACTATACAATAATAACACAAAACGTTTATTTTAGGGGCTGGTAGTGAAGACCTTTGAGTTACAGGTTTTATAAGATGATAGTTTTTAGCAAATAAAATGATGAAATGCTTGAAAAGTCATTATGAAGAAAATCATAATGTGCTACATGATATTGTATCAAGTCTGTTCATGTTCACTCACTTGTTTTCTTCAATAAGAATCCACAAAATATCTGGATTGGTCAGAGCAACATCAGAGTCGATGCTGAAGAAATAACCGCAGGAGACGTCCTTCTTACACGCCTCGCTGAAACACAAACACACAGCCAATGGAATCATGGGAAGGATCCCCTCATTCAATGCACACAATCATCAGGACTGTTCATCTCTAACATGTGTGTGTATTTACACTGCCATGTTTCTGGCCTGGTCTTGTTTGAGGTTTTCTTCTGGTCCAACAATTCTTGCCCCAGGGAAGAGCGAGCGATGACGCGTCCAGAACCGCTCCACGTGCTGCTCGTGATACACAACCTGCACGCAAACACATGTGTGTGTGAACATGTGACTTGTGTGTTTCACCAGCACATGTGTGGATATGTACCTCACATAGCAAGAAAGACATGTATGAAGGGCCATAAGAGTGTGTGTGTGAGCTAGAGATCAACCGATAACCAGTTTTACTGATATTTAAGCATTTTTTTATAATTGGATATCGGTTTAGTAATATCGGATCCACCGATAAATGATATTAAAACATCTTTCATTGAAGATGTATTATGAAGATGAAATTTAATATTTTACATTTTAACATGAAAAAATACTATCTAACTTTTTTAACCTTTTTATTTTTTAAACTTTTTCTATTTTTGAGATTACAAATTAGGATTAACGAAAGTTTTATAGATTAAACAGTTTGTTCATTTCAGTGATGCTGTTTTCATTGTGTCAAGAACAAAAGTAAAACACTAAAATATACAAATATCGTTTTTGTATATCGATTACGATTACCTGGCACATAAACATGCAAATAATCGGTATTGATATCAGTTATAGAAAAAAAAACAATATCGGTCGATCTCTAGTGTGTATTTGCATTTGTTATGTATAAAAAATAAAATAAAATAATATAATAATTTAATTTACTAATTTAAAATGTACGTTGTTGTCTTTGTGTT